AACTTTTAGCTTCAACTTCAACTTTTAGCTTCAACCTTTAGCTTCAGCTTCGACAGTTACACATGTTAACATCATACACCGTCCACAGGAAACCAAACAATGTGTACAGTTTACCGTGGGGACAGTCCCAGTCGTCCGGCCCCCCCCCCCCCCGCCCCGCCCCCCCTCAGCTCTGGTGTCACGTGGCTCCAGTTTCTATTTCCTGTGATCACATTTTCCAACCGCTTCATTAAAGGTCCATCTAATCAACAGTGATCTGATCTGAGCTCAGCTCTGGTCTCAGGTGGCAGTCTAGGTACCGATGCAGGTACCGATCCCTACCTGTAAACCAGCGAGTCGTCCTGACTCCCGTTGTACTGAATCTGGAACATCCTAATGCCCGGAATATTCCTCTGGAAGTTAAACTTGATCAGTGCCGTCGAGGACGTGGCCTCGGCCGTCACCACCCGTTTGTCGCCGCCGCTCTTCACGTCCCCCGTCACGTTGCCCCCGTTGCCTCCGCCGCGGGACGATGTGGAAATATCCGAAGACCCGGGGTCGGGTTCCTGGATGTTGTTGGTGTTGTTGGAAATGTGAGGCAGTTTGATGATGAGCAGCTCCACTGTTTGGTGGGCTTCACCAGCAGGGTTGGAGGAGATGCAGGTGAAGGAACCCGTGTCCTTCACGGTACTGATCAGGATGTCCAAGGTACCGTTGGGATAGACCAAAGTCCTGGAGGAGTTGGACACCAGTTTACCATCTGGAGAGATCCAGTGGATGGCTGGTTCTGGGTCACCTCGGGCTTTACACCTGAAGGAAACAGTACCAGGAATGAGAGGATCACAGGACATCAGGACGGTTCTAGGACCAGAACATTAGAAACGCGTTGGTCTAAGAACACTGGAATCGGTACCTCAGTGCCACTCGTTGTCCTTCCAGCACCCTCATCTCATGTGAGTGTCTGGTGATCAGCGGCGGTTCACACAGGAACTCCTCCTCTGGGACGGACCAGAAGTAGCGTCCAGACAGGTGTTGGGGGGAGGCACAGGTTTCCAGGTCGTCCTCCCGGTTCAACCGCCTCAGCCACAGCAGCTCACAGTTACAGTGGAGGGGGTTCCCCCCAAAGGACAAGGCAAAGGACGAGGAGGTCATGACCCCAGAGGTGGCCAAGACCTGGACATGAAAACTCAGACTTTTAACCTTTGACCTGTTCGATCAAAGATCATTTCAAAACCTCTGTAGTTTAAGTCATAATATTAATTGGTTTCATAAATGTTTTAAGGGACCGTCATCAAACTCCCGACCAAACAGCAGTTTGGGCAGAACCGATGTCAGCGTCTGTGATGGAGCCTGAAATTTAGAGTCTTTGTTTTTAACAGATTCACCTGGTACTAAATTACTACATTAGGTTGCAAATATATGGACATCGCAATATGTTATAATCCACTAAAATATAGGTCACAATAGACTAAAATATATGTCATAATACCCTAAAATGTCATAATACATTAAAATATGTCATAATACACTAAAATATATGTTACAATAGACTAAAATATATGTCATAAACCACTAGAATATATGTCATAATACCCTAAAATATGTCATAAACCACTAGAATATATGTCATAATACCCTAATATATGTCACGATAGATTAAAATATATATCATAATACACTAAAATATATGTCATAATACACTATAATATATGTCATAATACACTAAAATATATGTTACAATATACTAAATTTTAATAATACACTAAAATTTATGTCATAATAGACTAAAATATATATCACAATACAATAAAATATATGTCATAAAAAACTAAAATATATGTCATAATACACTAAAATATATGTTACAATATACTAAATTTTAATAATACACTAAAATTTATGTCATAATAGACTAAAATATATATCACAATACAATAAAATATATGTCATAAAAAACTAAAATATATGTCATAATACACTAAAATATATGTTACAATATACTAAATTTTAATAATACACTAAAATTTATGTCATAATAGACTAAAATATATATCACAATACAATAAAATATATGTCATAAAAAACTAAAATATATGTCATAATACACTAAAATATGTCACAATAGACAAATATATGTCATAAAACACTAAAATATATGTCATAATACACTAAAATATATGTTACAATCTACTATAATACAGTGGACGCCCTCGATATATTAAAATGGTTGGGAGTGACATCGGGGTGACTGTGGTCAGTACCTGAGCTCGTTGGAACAGAGGGTCGGGGGGTAACTTCTGGAGTTTATTGGAGGTGACGTCCAGTCGGTTGAGTTTCTGCAGCAGTGAGAAGGTTCCCTCTGGGATCACGTCCAACATGTTGTGGTCTAAACTCAGTGTGTGAAGGCTGGTCATTCTCTACAGGGAAGACAGGGGGAGTCTTTAGAACCATGAAGAACCACAACCAGGTTCACAGACAAGGATTCAACTGGGCTCAACCTCCGTCTCCTCACCGACATCTTCAGCTTCTACACCGACCGACTCTACAACCACATCAGAGCTGCTGACTCTCAGAGAGAACCGCACAGACTCAAGAACTCAAGAACTCAGACGAGACCGTGACGGAGCTGCAGCGGAACCTTCACTTACTGGGTTCTCAAACTATGGCCTTGACTTTTGTGTTGAGTCTTTCAAGGTTCTGTAGCAGCCGAAGTTCTAAAGCAGCTGCGGTTCTAAAGCTGCCGAGGTTCTAAAGCTGCTGAGATTCTAAAGCTTCCAAGGTTCTAAAGCTGCTGAGGTTCTAAAGCTGCTGAGGTTCTAAAGCTGCTGCTGAGGTTCTAAAGCTGCTGCTGAGGTTCTGAAGCTGCCCAGGTTCTAAAGCTGCTCAGGTTCTAAAGCTGCTGAGGTTCTAAAGCTGCTGTTCCGTCACAGTCTCGTTCCAGATAACGACTCCACCGTGGTCCTGACCTGTATGGCCTCCCATGGAATGGAGTCCAGATTATTGTAACTCAGGTCCAGTTCTTCCAGTGCCAGCAGGTCGTTGAACGCCCCCTGGTGTATCAGTACCAGCTGGTTGTTGTTCAGGATCAGGTGGTGGAGCTTGGACATGCCACTGAACGTATCGTTGCCTATCCTGGTCAGGCGGTTACTGAGGGGGG